CCTCGGGTCTTCGCTGCTCTATACGTGGCCCTGAAGCTTAGGGGTCTGCTCTCTGTAGGTTGAGGCCCCTGGTGTCCCCCTAGTTTACCCGACTCCACCCCTGGACTTTCTTTTTGCCGGGACAGCGCTGCCCCTTGAAGCTTTYGCCGCGGGCACTGCCGTGGAGCCGCTCGCCTGGAGCCAGAGAACAGGGCGCGGGACTGTTGATCCGAGCTCCTTGGTTTCCTTCCCCTGCCCTCTCCCGCCTCCTAAAGCACCCTTTATGTTTCCTAACAGGATCAGACAGTCCAGGAGTGGCTTACTACACAGGGAGTTTTGGGTACGTGGACGCAGGCTGGGCAGCTGAGAGAGACCAGTGTGGGGCGGCGCAGAGAGGGGGGCGCCTCCAGGCCGGCCCCCCACACCCCACCTGCAGAATCCGAGCGCGGCAGAGGGAGGGAGAGGAGGCACGCGGGCTGGGCGAGGGCCCCAGGCAGGAAACGGGAACTTGGGGAGTTAGGCACTGGAGACGTCGTGCAGGTGGCCCCGGAGCAGCCACTGTGAAGAACTGCTTCCTCCCCAGAGCCCAAGGAGAGTCCAGGAGACTGTGCATCTCAGAGTGCGACTGCAGGAGTTCTCTGGGCGGCCTCACAGAGTCACTTGGGCCACTAGCATTGGGCGTGGCCAGCGTGGCTCACACTGGCAGTGTCCATGGGCACACACTAACCYGCGTGAAAATATAACCTTCCCCTCGTTCCCCGCCTAGAAATGCCCGTCCTCTGGGAGTGTGCCTGTTCCTGAAGGACTAACCTGACGCGGGGCTGGCCTGGCCGGCCTCGCGAGGAGGAGCTCTGTGCACCCTCCTGCCCTGCCCTGCCCACTCCCCTCTTGATTTAGCTTGTCTTCAGACCCGTCCCGAGCCCCACACTGGCATCATCTCCTGTACAGCAGAGACCGGGAGGAGCCCGATGCCCACCTGTCTCTTGTTAATCCCACTCTAATTCTGAATGCTCAGTGTGGGTCCATCTAATGCCTATTAACACCAGCCTCCGCCACGGGAGGGTAAGAGAGAAAGCAGCCCGATCCCTGAAACAGACCCTCCAAATGGTTCCCTACAGCGCTGACCTCTCTGGGCAGTGCAGGCTGCGTGACCTCCATCCATGGCTCTGTCCACACAGCGGGTGCCGCGGAGATGGGTCAACGGGGACCTCACTCTTCTTGAATATGGAAATAAAATAATGAACTTGCAGCCATCTTTTCCCGGTGTCTCATTTCGTGTTCTGGCTCCTGGAACACAAGGCTCATCTCGGGGCCAGGGGAGCGCTCATCCCAGGGGTGCGGTCGGAGCCTCTGACCCCCTCAATGGGGTGGATGGTCAGATGCCACACCTCCACGATCAGAGGCAATGCCCGCTCTAAGGAAGGAATTTTCATGGCTTTGAAGAGAAGCTGCTCAAGTTGGTCTCCATCTTGCTGTTCGCCAGCGTGAGAGCCCTGGGGATGTGAGGAATTCTGGAAACTTACTCTGGATCACATACAGTTTCCTGGGCAGAGGGAAGTGTTTCCCAGACTGCATTAAGGGATTTTCTCTTTTTTCGCTTACAGTTGCCTTGGTTATAGGAATTCTATTCCAAAAAGATAAACCAGAATCCCTTTTGGGTAGCTTCTAACAGAACCGGGGTTCCTTTCTCTGCTCAGTCGGGGCTGTGAGAACTAGCTGCATTCAGGAACTGCAGGAAGGAAACCCACCCAGAACGAGCGTGGATACCACAGCCGGTTTTCTGGGGGGCATGTTGCTCCAGGCTCCAGCTTAAGGACCAAGCGCAAGGACCTTAGGGTGCCGAAGGCCACCATTTGGGGCTCAGGACACCTGAGCCCTGCAAGCGCTGTTACACTGACTCAAAGCCCAATGTCCAATCTCCTCTCTCTTCCCTTCTGTACCCAAACCCTTCTGAATGTGAGACTCGAAAATCACGCAAAGATGATTACACTTCAAAATCTTGTGCTCTTTTACTTGGTGAGTCTAATTTAAAGTCACATACATTCCCCTCCTAGAAATGACCTAGAGGGTAAATAAACCAAGGGCATATAATACAGTAAGGAGGCATTTACATGATCATGCAACATTCAGCTAAATATTTTAAAGCAAAATAAAAACTGAGCCATTGAACGTGCATCAAGACAGGTCTGAGTGCTTCTCCTGAAAGCTGACAAAAATCCATTTCCAGGCTGAGTTCTGTGAGAAGGGTTCCAGAACCTTCCTCACGGGTGCTCTCCTGCGGCACAGAGCTGGCTTGGGGCTGCTGCCGTGATCTAGAGATGATGGGGGGGGCATGAAACTGCACATCAGAATCAGCCCCGTGGACACTCATCCTCAAGCTGCACAGCCTCCCATGCTGCTTATTCCCCAGGGAGAAGGCCAGCCACACAGCCCCGGGGCGGGACACACTCACCAGTGAGTGGTAGAGCCCAGGGGTTGGGCTGTGGGCAGCCAGGCCCAGAGCAAGTGGCTCTGGAGAGAGGGTGGAGGTTGGGCCAGGCTGGAGGGGACCTGGCTCAGAAGACAAGCACTCCCACCTAGTGAAGGGGCCTTCATAAATTGGGCCCTGCACAAGACACTGGAATTGGGAGACCATGAGAGACAGAAATTCCCTGCATCTGAGGACAAGTCAATGCACAACGGGTGCCTGTTTTTCACCTGCAACAGATATTTCCTAAACCCCACGCGGAAGGATACTAAGAGTAAATCCCAAGACTCTGCAGTATCAGTGCTTCTTTTTCCAAAAGGGTGATGTAAAGTGAATCAGCGCATTTTTCTATGGTGGTCTCTCTCAACAGTGAACAGTTACTGGATTCCAGATGAATCGAAACCAAGGTGGAACCCACCAGTGCGGTCCAGGCTGTACTTCATCTGTCATTATGGTTTCCAAAATGCTCTGGCAGTGTCTACACTGGACGCCGAATCAGTCCTCTGGTTCTTCCACTGGACTCACACACTGGCACGGGCCTCACACAGCTCGGAGGCAGGGTGGAGGCCCCTGGGCTGAGTCTCTTCTGCTCAGCTCTCCCTGCTGTGAAGCAGCACACACATGCTGCTGGCTCCAGAAGCTCACAGCCTCCTGGGACTCAACAGAGGGACAAGACCAAGCATCAATAGAGCAATCCTGCAGCTGGACCCAGCACCGGCCAGGTCCTTCCCCACCCCAGCCCATGCCAGCCTCAGGAGGCAGAACCTGCCAACAAGGTGACCAGCTCAGCACCTGCCACCTGCCACACTCAAGGGCAAGGCCCCAGGGACAACCTGAGCTGCATGGCTGCATGGTCTCCTGGGGACACTTTCATCCCTAACTTACAGGCCAGCTCCAGGGCAATGAGCAATGAAGGCCGTGGAACAGCAGGGCCCCCAAGTGCTTGTGCACGAACAGAAGGAGACAGCTCTCTCCCCCTCCCGGGGGGCCATGGAGGCTGGGCCCAGGCTGAGCCAAGGGGCCTGAACAGGGGCTGACACGGGAACTGGAGACAGACGGCAGGAAAAGGCCAACAGAGCTGCGGGGGGAGAGGGGAGGCAGATGTGGAAGGGGGCAGGGGGACTCTGTGTTGGCTGGGACGAGGGGCGCCTTCGTGGAGCACGGTTCTATATAAAGAAACAAGGAGTTGAAGATGATATCCCTCTCCAGATTTCCCCAGCGCTGCCCGCTGGTTAGATGGCAGGAAGCACACCGACGATTGGCCTGGGATTCTGATGACTCTCTCTACAAAAAGGAAGTAGGGCTCCTCGGAAAAATGGGTGATCTCAGAGCTGGGGGAGAACAATTCATTGAGCCAGAAAGTAAGAAAATACTCAAAATAATTACACGGCCAAATCAAAAGGCCCAAGCAGCGGCAGCCATTGTCCATGGCTACCCAGCACTAGGAACCCAGGCAGAGTCAGGCCCAGGGGCTGCGTGTGTCACCTGGAAGACAGTCCCCTGCCGAGCTTGGCTAGACCAGGGGAACCAGGGACCGCTTGGCCAGGGTGACTGAAACAGCATGTAACTGTTAACACTGTCAGTAACTCTTGCTTGGCCCTGAGAAATGGAAACGGGAAATGTGTTTAGTGGTGGAAAGCATCACGCGGGGAGAGTGTGTACTTTCCTTGGGGACCGATTTAATATTCAAAGGTACCAGGCATCACGGAAGGCTCTCGGTGTGGAGTAAGCCAATCACATTTGTGAAGACATTTCCATTCACTTTGTGACCTGAGCCAGGGTCGTCTGACCCAGAACCTRGAGTGAATGAACCTCTATCAATAACCCCAAAGGAGCTTTGGTCCCACCCCCCACCCCCCAGAAAAGGGTAGCAGACCCCTTTGTCTCTGGTCCTGGGCACTCCTGTCCTCTGCCAGAACCCCAGGAAGCAGCTGGCTTTCCTGGAGAGTGGGGCACTCTGAGAAGGCTGAAGGGCAGAGGCGATCCCAGACGGGCTGTATAACCTGGCCCATATGAAAAGCCCCCCCACCAGCACACTCGGACCCATGTGAGCCTAGGCTCACGTCTGCCCACACTGGCCCACACCAGGCCTGCTCCCGAGTGAGGAGCAGAGTGGTCTCAGGCATGGTGTTCTTCACGTGCCACACAGGCAGGAGGGCAACAGCAACCCAGACTCCCCACGGCTGGCCGGCCGTGTGACACACAGCAACCCAGATCCCACGCTGTCTCCAAGGGGGAGAAGCTATGACCCAACTCCACTGTATTTCCAGAAAGCCAGCGTCTGCACCCTTGTAAGCAGTCAGCTGGCATCGTGCCCACTTGCTCTCAAGCACCCTCTGAGCGAGAGGGAGCATGGCCGTCCCTAGCAGGAGGTCTTGTGGCCTCGCCACACAGCCACCCTGCTGCACCGCATGGACTGGCTGGGCGACAGCCAGAGAAAACCACCGACTCCAAACGGTGATCACTTGCCCCAAACCCCAAGAAGCAAATATACAGGAGTTTTAAAATAATACAAAAACTATCTTTATTATTTTTAAAAGCCAGCACAGTGGCTTTTGGCATAACTATGCATTTCTAATACAAAATTGGATTAAATAAATATCATCCAATGTATAAATAGACCATGAGACAATTCCGAAGATAAAAAGAGGACTCTTCTGTAAATTAAAAAATTAAATTTTCTTCAGTGGTGACTCAAGAACAATCACTATGGCATTTTAGAACTTGTCAAATATAATACAAAACTTGATTTAATACAAAAGTCTTCATGCTGTAAAGCGTTACACATAGAAAAGATTAAATAGCAAAATCTTTTATGATCACTGCCTATTGCTGCTGACATTGATACTAATGATTTTTTTTTTTTTTTTTAGTGCTTTAAATGCTTATTAGTCATCCACTAAGAAACCACCAGGCGCCTTGGGAGGCAGTGGGCGAGTGGACCGTGTGTCGGAGGAAGGGGCAACTAGGAGCACAGAGACCACGTAACGGTGGCTTCGTGCTCACCGAGGTGAAGAAACGTCACTGTCAGGGGGTGTGCAGGGCTTCTGGCCTCACGAAGCTCTGCTGACCCATTACCAGACAATGCAAAAGACGTAACCAGATTTCAAAATGCTGCTTTCCAAGGGCCCAAGCAGATATGTAACACTAAATTGGGTTATGTATATGTAGGCTCTTTTGAAATTTTACTCTAAAAATCCTAAAGCACCCACATTGCACGAATAAATTAAGTGTGAAAGAGGGCTCTGGGTCCAGCAGTCTGCCCCCACTCTGCAGGAGGCTGAGGCACACAGCAGGGATTACCGCTCTCGGTGGGGGAGGGCAGATGCCCACTGAAGTCAGCTTTGGGAGAACTTAAGAAGCAGGTGGGAGACACCCTCCAAATCAGGACCAGCAAGCAGTTTACACATCTTACATATTTCTCATAAGTGTTATTTACATAAATCTGTGGTGATCGTTAATGCTGAAATGTGGATCTCCATGAGCTAYGAACATCCTTCTCAATAAGAGAGAATTCCACAGGAAGAACTGAGATCTCCTTTCAGAATCTGCCCCTGCTCTGCGGCCTGAACCTCTCACACACAAAAGCACCCAAGTTCAAAGGAAGGTACAAAATGCAGCTATGATTTTAAGACTCCGGTTTCCTTGAACGTGGCGAGGGAGGACACAAAGGAACAGACTGCAGATGCTTCCCCAGCAAGCGCTGCCTCAGCAGCGCGGGGCTCGTCCCATGGCACAGGGACGGTGGTGCTGAGCCGTGGCCATCACCTCCAGGAGCTGACGGGGCTGAGTGGCACTTGCTGAGCAGGTGAAAGCGGCTTCTGCTGTCACCTACCGCCCTCCCCGTGCTCTGTCCRCCAGATCACTCCCGCTGTCTGGGCTGCACAAGCCGCGGCGGGCTCATGCTCACATCTTTGGAAACGGAATCCTTTCTTTCAGCCTGTGCAAGTGCTTAGCAGTTCCTTTACCATGAGCGGGTCAAAGGCAGTGACAAACTCTCAAAAGCAGCCACAGTGGCTGTGGCGCAGGTGACCTGGTGGCGCTGTGCAGGACCTACTCCACGCCGTACCCTGATTCTCGGTCCGAAGCTCTTCAGGTAGACGCTGCGAGGGTTACCTCCCATGGTCTGGGCCTCAGAGGTAAAAGAAATATCACTAAGTTCTTCTCTGGTAAACATATCTGAACTTGAAATTAATTCATGTGCCAAACAATTTTATCTTAAATATTTTTAAAGGAAAAAAATTAATCACATTTCTTAATGTCATTTTGTATTTATAGCTATTCCACAGCAGATATGCCCTGGTGAGACAGCTCTAAAAATACAGCTCTCTATCCTCAAAACCCTGGTTACGCATGAGGCTAGAAATCTCTTTCCTAAAACAACTTCTTAATCAGCCAGTAAAATACAAAGATCAACCTGTACACCACAAACATTCAAGTGAAATCATATCATTTTAAAACCTTGTATTTTCAAGGAATGTTTTGCAAAGGAGCAGCTTTTATGATTAGAAAGTAAACCCAAATAATACATACACGTCTTGTGTTTGCCTGCTAATAAACCGAGAAAAGACACAGAATGGACTACTGATAGATTTTTTTCTTTTTCTTTAACCAAAATAAAAGTAGGCTTCAGATTCATGTGGTAAGGCCTTACTTAAACAGCAATGAACCACACAGTCACACACTCTGCTCTCTATATAGTTAGGAACTAAACACCCCCTTTTGGAGATGTCCTGAGATGACATTTAATGTTAAAAGCAAAATAAATAAACCAGCAAGAACAAAAACTTTAAATTCCAATAATTTCAACTTTGGGGATATTTGTTCACTAAAATTAATCAACATATCTAAAATATTTTAATACAAAATTATAAAAGAAAAAGTGCATTAAAAGCAGAGCCTTTAAAACTCTTGCACAGTTACAGTTTTTCTGAAAATGCTGCCACGCCAGTGAGCGGGCTGGCCTCTGGGGACCACGGGGCCACAAGTCCAGCTTCACAAGAGGTCAAATAAGGCTTTTCTCTTCTTAAAAAAATATACAATACACAAAGCAGTTTTTGGGGAAAAGGTAATATTATTCAACAGTTTTCTGACTTAAATATTTTCACAAAATAACAAAAGTCTTCATGTCAGCGCAGTGTGACGTCTATACAGATACAGAGGTGAACAGCAAAGTCACAGATGCCCTTCAGAAGAACAGTGGGACGTCTCTTTCTTTCGGAGTCTGAGCGACTCCTCTTGATATACAAAATCCACACGATATTTACAACAACACGACTCTCCTCTGGAGCCAGGGAGGCGGAGAGAAAAACAAAGGCAATCATCTTTCAGAAGAAAATAAAACCCAGCTTTGTGTTACGGTGGGAAAGGTATCCATTTATTAACAACGACCAGGGGWCTGAAGTGCTCGTGGGAGGAGCCTCAGGTGCGCACTCGGGACGGGGACTAGTGCTTCTATTTACAAAATATACTGCTCAGCCACACAGAGGCCCATACTATGTACATCGCATTTATATATAGAACATATAAATAACCCACAGGGAACCAGCGCGGCGTGGCGAACCTCGGCTTTGGAATGCTGCCGGACGCAGCGTCCGCGTTCCGCCCCAGCCGGGTGGGGCTTGGTGGGGACGTGTCTAGCGGGCACCATTGAGGACAATAAAGAATTCCCTGAAATAAAAGACACATCTCTTTATGCATGAAGAGGAATCATGGGGTCTGGGGGTTCTCACCCTTAACCTAAAACAAGCCTCCCGTGGAGAAGGCAGGGTGGAGACCTGCTCCCAGGAGACCACCTGCCACTCCCTACCACGGTGTGGCTTGTGCTTCTGCAGTGGCCTCACCCTGAGCCTCAGCAGATGCACACAGCAGGTCTCTCCCACCTGTGGGACGGCTGATCCTCCTGGGGCCAGGTGTCCTCTCCCTGCTGCCCCAGACCCTGGCTCTTCCAGCTGGTGGCCAGATGCCTGTGAGGGAGAGTTGGTCCAGCCACCTCTCAGGGGTCAGCTGTATTCACTTAGGGAAGGGTAAAAAGAGACGACTACTACTAACTTCCAAAACGCACAGAGTAAAGAGTGAAGAGCCTCCCATGTGTCACGACATTTTTCTCAACTTCATGCACCTATCTTAGGGTTGTTCTGTAAGCGATGCTTCTTATAACAGAAAGCATGAAGGAAAATCTTACATACTTTTTCCAGGTTAACTTTTGTCTTTGCTAATACAAAGAAATCACACTACAATGATAGTAAGATCCAGTTAATTTCTTTTTAACTAGATACACTGGCCATGGAGAAGGTGAAGCTGACTATTGTAGTACCTGAGTTCAGTGATTCGTAGACAAATGAGAACAACGTGTTTACATTTCTCCCAGTTTTTTTCCTCTAAGTCTCTGAAAGACAATGATTCTTTAAATAATTTTATAGCTAAAAAACTATTGTGGTACATTTTTAACACTTGAAGCTTTAAAATAGAAATTCCAAGCGCTCTGTTCTTCATAAATGTAGCTGCAGAGCCAGCTCAGGTGCCCTCGCTGCGTCAGAACACGTTGGTAAGGGTCTGCCACTCGCCCGCAGCATCCTGCACCACCTCCTCCAGGTGCAGGGTCCTCAGCTCCTCCCCGTCCTGCTGCGGGGGAGCAGCTGTGCCCTGCAAGGTTCCTGCAAGGCAGCAAAGAGAAAATAGCTTCAGACCTTCAGCAGCACCCAGGTCCACCTTCAGAGCCTCACAGGAGCCAAGACGGACACCACCACCCTGCCTGGCTCTCCATCCAGTGAACCAGTCTGTTGATAAGACAGCATGGCATGCACACGAACACGGGCACTCAGTGCGTCCACACGTCCACACGGGGTCCGTGAGGAGTGACTAACAATTAATGTCAACAACACGGATGCCTTTTCTAACAGGAAGGAAAGCAGGAGCTCTACGGTGCAGATGTTAAAAAGAACAACTCCCCACAATATGAGCTGCTTTCTATTAGACGCCCCAGACACATCTAGATGCAGCCCCACCAGACACAGGAAGGCCTGTCTGCTGTCACTCACAGAGCACACTCTCTTTCATAACCTTGCCACACTCGAAACACACAGACGCAAAACCCCCTGGTCACACCCAGGGCTCTTCACAGATTTAACATTCCACACTCCTCTGCACAGCTACCACTACCGTGAGCCCAACTGAGGCTCTCTGTCATCGTTTCGTCCTTAAATAGACATTGATGCTGGGCTCCGTGTGGGAAACGAAGACCAGGAGGAGCAGCCTCAGATCACACCCCAACAGCTGCTCTGCTACGAATGAACCTCGTGGATCAGCGCGGAGAAACAGAGGCCCACATGTGGTCTGCACCGAGTAGACAGAAAGCAGACAGGCTGACCCTGACCTCGCAGACCCTGTGTGCCCCTACCAGGCTGACCCTGACCCTGACCCCTGGGCCCTGAAACAGCCCTTGACCTGCTGAGTGCAGGGCAAGGCCTCCAGTCACACTGCAGACAGACATGGAGCCGCTGCTCGGGGTGCCAGGCCCTGACTGCTCACTATGGCTAGCTCTGTCCTGTAAGAAGCAAGCCAACCAGGAGTGCTGCATGTGTGCAGGTTCCGGGTGGCACCTGGCTCCTGAGGCACTTCTACGTCCTTGTCTAAATAAACGGGACATTTCATCTCCTCCGACTCCGTGTGCACTGTGAGTGGCGCTCCTCCCCAGGGTGTCAGTGTGCAGCCTGCTCCAGTCTGCTCCTGGGAGCTAGAACGACTGGTCCAAGCCTCCTCACTTGGCATGGGACCACACCAGGCACTGGAGTAACCAACGTCCAGGCCTCCAGGCCTGCCCTGCCCACTGGACCTCACCACTTCTGGCCTCTCCCACCTCTTCTGGCTATGTTCCCCCATAGCTCAGGTCTACACACAGCCACTGTGCACACTGCGGGGAACAGCACACGCAGAAGAACGCACAGCCGAAGGCCTGCTTCTGAGGAGGGCTCACCTGCGAAGCTGTGGGCCCGCTTCATGTGCAGCTTCATGTTGCTCTTCTGCGTGAAGCCCATGACGCAGTAGTCGCACTTGTAGGGCCGCTCCCCGGTGTGCTTCTTCATGTGCACCTGCAGGGCGCTCTTCTGATTGAAGGCCTTCTCACAGAGAGTGCAGTGGAAGGGCCGCTCCCCTGCACAGGAAAGCCACCGTCAATGCCACAGTGTGAAAGAACCCCTTCTCAAGAAGACGCACGATTTTTAAAAAGACCACAGCAATGTTCTTCCTATTACTGTCACTCAGATTGCTAATTAGCAGGATTCTGGCAAATCTACTTTGGTTTAATAGCTGATCAAAAGCTATTAGAAGCCACAGAAGCATCCAGAAATCAAAGCAGAACACATGTAGTTTACACAAAACACCTCCAATGCATTTTGTGCAGCAGAGAGACACCGAGGACAGAGAATCAAATCCATTTAATATAAAGTAAAATGTATGCAATATTTTTCGTATTCCATGGAATGGCTTGACGTTACTACAGGATGGAAGGAGGAGTGGCCACACCGCTGCCTGCYGGGAGCCACCTGGAGGAAGGCCGGGTGCGCGTCCTGCCGTGGGCCCCCACAATCCTCCTCCCTGGGGTAGGGCCTCTCCCCTCTGCCCACAGGGTTCCTCCCCACCCACTCTGTGTGGTGGCCCTGCTGCTGCCCTCCAGCATCACCGTGTACTCATACATGCTGACTCACGCTGCGCGGCGTCTGTTCTTCCTTCCTGGGGGCCATGGCAGATGAGGCTGTGCCCCAGCAGCCTGTGGCGGAGCAGAGATGGCCTCTGCCCTCACCCTCACCCTGACTCTAGTGACTTCGCTCCTCCAAGTACGTGGGCTGCAAGGAGGGACGACTTAGGTGAGGCCCCTGCTGCAGTCTGATGAGAAGGGAGACCGGCAGGGCGTCCTGTCTAACCATGCAGCCTGTTAGAGCAGTTCCCCTGTGGGCACAGCCACAGCCACAAAGAGCGAGGTTCTGCCCAGCTGGGATGACCCCGGGAGTGAGCCTCTCTAGGGCACCCAGGCACAGGTGAAGTCCTGATGTTGGCCTGCGGGGCCTGAGCAGTGACCCTCCCAGGCCTTGTACTCTGGCCTCAGCACCACTGGCCCTGAGCGCTATGAGGGCCAACATGGCTGACCAGCACCACTGGCCCTGAGCGCTACGAGGGCCAACATGGCTGACCAGCACCACTGACTTGCTTATGGCGGAGCAGCTCACCCCCCCCACGCCTCGCATCTCCTAAAATCGCAGATGATTCAGTGTGATTTAAAACACTTAGGAAACACTGCCAGAGCACTGAGGGTCAGACGGGCCTGGAGGAGAGCAAGAGGCTGCTGGAGAAGCACACCTCAGCGTGTGCACCCTTGGTGGCTCAGGGCTGCATGTCGTCTCCGCCTCCCAGACTCAGTCACCTCTGGGGAGGACGTAGGTGAGAGCACGAGGAACACGAGATGGTGCGAGGCAGCCTGCTGTCCACCAGCAGGCCAGGGTGCTGAGTGTAGAGACGTGGTTCTAAGTCTAGACACCAGTCTCCACGCCCCACCACTGAGAGGCCTCAGGGCTGCTGCCACTCCCCCTGACTGCAGAGAAAATGGGGGAATGTGGAGACCGAGACAGAAACAGCACTTTCAAAATATCAAAAACATTTAAATGCTTAATGGTCCACAGGTTGATTAGTAGTAAATAATTGAAGAAATGGAACGATTCACATTAAAATCAGGGACACGTACAATTCAGTCACTATGCTTTTGGAAATGTAACAGAAAGAGTTAACAAAGCACGAGAGACCTTAAGATGGACGGAGATCTGGCTGATGTGGACTCAGCACTCTGACTAACTGAGCTGCGGCTCCTGGGGTCGCAGAAGGTCACGGTCACCACCTTGTCACACAGCCCACTAGGCCCACTTGCTGGAACCCTAACAAACCTTCACTGCAGACTGGAAGGGACTGTAGCTTGTTCACCCTGATGCCACACTAGTGGCACTGCGTGGTCTTGCCACGCCCTCGCGGGCATCTACCTCACTCTAAAGGAAGACGACGGTCTACTGGTTGTTCCAAGCCACAGCAGACGTCAGCTTCCCACTCAGCAGCTCTGTGCTGCACGCCTGGTGGGTRTGGGGCTCTGAGCTTACCATCCAGGCCGCAGCCCACAACAAGACATGTGGCCCCATGTGCCCAGAGCCTGCATGCCAGGACCCTTCCAGGGAGCCATGGACCAGGGTGGCACCTGAGTGTCCCATGCCAGCCTTGAGCTCAGGTAGCTACGGGGACCCTGGGGGAAGAGAGATGCGAGATGCCCCTGGAGACATGTCAGGGGCAGCAGGCACAGGTGGGGAGAACACCTGTGGTTGGGCAGGGCAGGCGGGCAGCTGCGCACTAGGAGGCGTGGCTGCACAGAGGACGCTGGGCACCTGGAGGTAGAGGAGGGGATGAGTGGTTCAGGTCTGCTTGCAGGTCCCAGCCTGGCTGTCCTCTGACAGGGAGCAGAGAATGGTCCTCAGTGGACACAGCCAGAGGGAGCCCTGCCCTGGTGGTGGCAGATGCGGGGTGCTGGGGACAGAAGGGGCAGAGTGATAGCCTGACCATGGGGGCAGGACGGGTGAGCAGAGGGGTCATTCAAGCCGGGGGGCTGCGGAGGGCTTGTCTCTGCGCTGTTTCTCCCTGGGATACGAGGCTCGAGCAGAGGGAGGCGGGACAGGCAGACTGCAGAGAGACGGGGTGTGGCGGGAGGGCTGGCAGGAGCCCTCTGCGATTCTCAGCAGAGGCAGGGAAGGTGGCAGCCAGAGCTCACTCCCGATGGCCTCCACTCCTGTGGTGACAATGCCAGTAGCGAGACCTCCCTTGAAGAACCCAGGAATGCTGACCCATCCATCCCAAGTCGGGGGAGAGGGGAGTGTGCAGAAACTGCTTCCTGAAGATCACGGAGCACTGCTCTGGCGCTGCACACCAAGTCCACTTTCACACTGGCTGTCCACTCAGGAGCAACAGAGCAGGCCACCCCTGCGCCTCACCTGTGTGGATGCGGCTGTGTCGCTCCAGCTGGCTTGGCTTGGCAAACGCCTTGTCGCAAGTGTCACACTTGAACACTCTGGGCTTCTGAGAGCTCAAGGAGGGGCCGGCCTGGTGCGTCAGCATGTGCTCCTGGAGGGACACGTGAAGGGCACATCAGACCACAGCAGAACTTCAGGGGCTCAGGACAGCGAAGCAGGGCAAATCACCACAAAGGCACAAGTGAGTGGCCAGGTCTGCCTAGGACGGAGGTGGTCGGCAGCCAGACGGTGACAGGCCTGGGGCTTCCCCGGGAGACTYGGGACATCAACAGTGGGTCTAGTGAAGCCCTCAGAAGCCTCCCCTCATCTCTTTGGACACACAAGTCCATCTGGAAGTCATGGCCCATGGCTGGCTCCCCAAGGCCTGTGGCCCTGCCTACAGACCCAGGAGATTCCCACCCAAACGCCTGCACCTCTGGGCAAGTTCTTCCAGGACACAACCATCCCTTCACAGGGAACTCGGGGTGTCTGAAGCCACCATGTCATTTTGGGCCTTGAACATTGCACATCTGCCCATTTGTCAGTGACTGTGTGTGTGTGCTGGTGTCTTCTGAGAGATCTGGCAGCTGCCGGGCTGCAGGCTCTCAAGGACGCCTGCTGCCCGCTTCTCCAGCCTRTCACAAGAGTGTGGTTATTCTGCCTCTTGCCCTAAGGCAGAATTCAAGGAAGAATCATATGTGAGGAGGAGAGTGTGCTGCGCGGGTTCCCTGCGTACTGCCTCCCACGCCATGCTAGCCCATGCCCAGAACCACTAGGAGGTGGGTATGATGGCAACAGGGGACGAGAACCAGGCTCCAGAGAAGCTGGGGTCCCAGCATCAGAGCYGTACTGAGCCAGGACTCCAGCTGGACCTGGCCACAAGGCAGGCACATCGGCAGCACTCCACATGTCTGCAGCTCTACACACCTGCACCCCTCACCTGCAAGCAGCTGGGCTTGCCCTTCCCTGCTCAGTCTGGGCTTCTGTCCTCCAGTCTCTGTCCTATCTATACACATGATCCGTGGGACTCAGCCTTTGAGGACACAGCCACTGCTTCTGGGGCCATTTTCTTTGTCCCCAGGCACCTGGTGTTTCCTACGTCAACTTAGGGCAGAGCAGAACCAGACTCCTGGAGTGATCTGTCAGGGGACCATTCCCTCCATGTCTTGGACAGCACTGCCTCTCCTCATAGGGACGTCTGTCTGTATGTCTCAGCGCTCCCTTGCTGGCGGGGCCTGACAGAAGGCAGAAGCTCAGGGCACACAGAGGAGGCACACTGCCTCTGCTGACAGTGGGAGGTGGGAGCGAGGCCTGCATCCAGGGCCAGGAGGTGAGCACAGGGGCTGCTGGGGCCTAGTGGTGGCAGAGGACCCAGCTTGAGGGGGCCTGCAGGACATCAGCATGGGCTTCCTCCTTCTGCCGGGCAGAGGTCCAGCTTTCCCTGTGGGGTCACAAGTGCTGGACTGGTCAGGGGCAGGTGGGTAGAGATAGGACGGGACCCCTGCTTCCTGCACCTTCCTACTGAGTGCCTGGTAAAGCACCTCATTCCCGTCACCTCCTCATGGGCCTGTGAGGACCTACCCTCTGTCTAAAGGAGAGACCCCACAGCCCTGTGAAGTGGAGCCCTGGAGAGGTGGCGCCAGCTGTGGTTCGCGCCCGCCCTGTTTCCTCCAGTCAGCACCCTCTTCTTTCCCAAGAAGGGCTTCTACCTGGAGTCTTTTCTGGAAGTCCGTGGCTTCTCATCTCCAGCCCGTTTATGTTAACAAACRTTGGCCATGATTCTGACAGATGACACTGAGCTGCTGTCACCTACGTCAGTAGGTGGAGACCTGCCCCAGGGGTGGGAACGGCATGCTACAGCATGAGGAGGGGGTCCGCTTGCTCTGGTAGGACGGCTCTTAGACACCCAGGGGGCTGACAGCCTGCAGTGGGTGAGCAGGGACTGCATCCACGCCCAACTCTGGGGCAGGCCTGTCCCCAGAGGCACTCAAGCAGATGCCATCAGCAACCACATTACTCTAGCTCTCAAGAAACCCTTCTTTAAAAAGGGAGGGTTAGTCTGGGTCTAGACGGGATCTTGGGAGTGAGGACATTCAGCTGCCAGGTGAGTTAGCCAGGGAAACCCGGTCAGAGCAAGGCTTCAAAGCCACTGTCACAGAAGCAGCAATCATCTGCCAGAGCCCCATTTCTCCAGAACAATAAGGAGTCCCCAGGAAAGACCCCTCAGGCAGAGTCAAGACTGACTGCACCTGACGTGCCTCTYACTGCCCTGCCCCATCTCCACCCAGCACAGCGAGGCCCGGCTTTCCAGGATGCTGGGCAGTGCACGAGGTCAGGGGACCTGGGAAAGCACATGCTGCTGGCCACTGGGCAGAGACGTGCTGCAGGGAATCCACCTGCCGTATCCATGCAGCCATCGAGCCACAGCGAAGGTCACAGGCAGCCAGTCCCTTGAGAGGCCAGGACGGCTGACGACACCAGGCCCCGTTCTGCCTGTGCCTGCCTCCACAATTCCACCCTCAGGAAGACGCGGGCGGCAAGGAGCCCGCGCTGCAGCTGAGACCTCTGCCTTCTCCCTTTCCCAGCAGCACAACCACAGCACCAAGTGCAAACAGGCCCCTGGAGCCCRAGACCAGGCCACCTCCTCTGCGCTCATGCCACACCCCCTCCAGGCACTGCTGCTGTGGTCCCGACCCTGTACCCGCTGCCGAGTTTACCAACAGGAGAYTTTTAGGACAACTTTAGGTTTATAGAAGAACTGGGCAGCGCCCCACAAACCCACCCCATGCCATTTTGTATCAGTACTGGGGTGTGGGTCAYAGGAGCCCCAGTGTGGACACGGCGTCGACTCACGGTCACGAGCTCTCCCTAAAGCCCACTCTCTGTCCCATGTCTGCTCAGGCTCCTCATGGCGGTCATAGGCTCTCAAGACTCTCCTGTGTCTGAGGACCTCCAGCTGAGGGGTCAGGATGTCCCTCAACTGGGATTCGTTTAATGTTTTACTTGTGATTAGGCAGAGATGACAGGGTTCTGGAAGGTTGCAGCAAGGAAGCACGTGGTGGGAGGTGTGACCAAGGACKTGGACGCCAAGCACAGCAGAGCCACCCTAACCTGAACCCTGCCCAGCCCCTCGGAGAGGAACGCCAGRGGGTTCGTGAGAAGCCCCTCCCCAGAGCCTCCTCTTGCCTCCCACCTGCGAAGGCCTCCCTTGGACGTCACCCTTCACCCCACCACCCGGCCCGGTGGCCACGCAGCTCTTCACCTGTGCTGAGGGGCACCTCTGGTGAGCAGGCGCACACTTGCTCAGCCCAGCGGCACGCCCTGCCCAGCGCAGTCACCAGCTGCCCCGACTCCTGCCACACGCTGGCAGCTCTTCTCAGCCCTGAGCCCGACAGGGGAGAGGGCGTTCCAGCGCCTCCTCAGCCTGGCGGAGACGGACTGGAACTGCACACGAACACAGTCAGCTCTCGGTGCACAACACCTATGGGGACTAAGTACCCGGGCTCGMACACTCACATCACTGTCCTTCTCATTGAAGAAAAATGGGAGAAGCGCACTTATTTCCGCCATTAGGAACCCTGTGTGCTGCCCGCGGCTGCGGTCCCAGGGACGTACCTTGAGGTGCGTGGCGCGCTTGAAGGCCTTCCTGCAGATGCGGCAGCCATGGATGCGCTCCCGGCCGTGCGCCTCCTTGCTGTGGTGCGCCAGCACGGCGGCCGAGGAGAAGGTGCGGGCACACTCCAGGCACTGGTGCGCCAGGCTGTCCTTCTCGGGCTGGCTGCCTGGGGCCAGGGCGGAGACGTCGGCCACCTGCGGGAGTCGGGACCTGTGACTGCCAGACACACAAGCAAGGCAACCCAGCAACCCACACCACACAGCGGCCGTGCACCGCAGCCAGCTCCCGCCTGCCTCCGCACGGCTGCCTGGCACACTCGAATCCCCAGCCAAGGGCAGACCAGCCCCACCGACCGTCCTCTCTGGCCACCTGGGCCAGGCCACCACCACACAAGCCCCTTCCTCAGCCTAGCGATGAGCAGTAAGGCGCCTGACGCAGCGCAGGTGAAGACCGGCTGAGGGATGCAGGGAGCCCGGAACCACACCTGGGCACAGGCATGGGCACGGGCAGGCAGACGTGCTGCCTGCAGGGAGAGCCGTGGCCTGGCCAGCCTCAGGGCTTCGCAGCACGACTGCTTCAGCAGACAGACTGACAGCCCTCAGGAGGCTTCCAGCCTGTGGTGAGATGAGGCATTCCCCCAAACGGGGGTCCCGGCACCTCCCTGGGTGAAGACCAGTGAGTGCAGAGGARGCCCACTGCCACACCCCGACAGACACGGAGCGGGCAGGGACCAAGGGCTGTCAGCGCGCCGTCCTGGTTCACCCACGCTGGTTCACAGACATGGGACACAGGGAAACGGACCCTCATTACAGAAACACGCTCCACAGCAGCAAAGGGCTCAAAGGTGCTCTGAGGTGGTTAATCTGTGCTATTAAAAAACAGACGGAGGGAGCAGGGAGCCAAACAGAGACACCGCAAAAGCATGGCAAGCCAGGCCTGGTCTACCTGTCTGTGAAGAAGCCAACAAAAGCCTGCACAGAAGCTAAAGACCCCTGTGAAAAATGACCTCCCAGCTGCTACTCTATAACTGCAGACAAAAACCCGCCACGGGGTTGGCAGAATCGGCACCCAGCGCCGAGCACTGCGCAGAACCCAGAGCGGGCGGAGTGCCTGGCGTGTAGAGGGAGACRCCAGCACCTGACCCGCTCCATTCAGGAGAAACCGCCAGCGCAGTGGCGCACGCCTGTGGCCCCAGCTCACCCGGAGGCTGAGGCAGGAGGACCTCAGTTCAAGGCCAGGTATGTCATTGGGAGAGACCTTGTCTCAGAATAAAAACTGGAAAAGGCTGGAAGTCCCAGGGTAAAGCCCCAGGACTGGGGAACACAGAGACTGACTGTCAAACGGCTTCCACACCAGCCCTGCCCCACACCAACAGGCAGCAGGCCACCAGGGCGCAAGCACCCCAGGTCCTCACTGCACCTTGGGCCACAGGTGCCCGACGGCCTCGGAGGCACCTCCGCAGAGCGTGACCGRCTCCACAGGGCGAGCAGGGCCCCCGACAGTGCAGTGGGCTTGGGAGACACTGCTGAAACCCCCTTGCCAGGAGGGGAAGAGCACGCGGGACACAGCAAGTGGGACGAGAKCTCCACGCCAGAGAGACACATGCCACTGGAGCCAGGCCTCGTGCACTTCCAATCTGTGGGGGGAATGTGTGGGGGCACGTGGTGTGTGTGCCACTGGAGCCAGGCCTCGTGCACTTCCAAT